TCACGAACATGAGCCTCTAGAAGCAGAATATTCACCTAATCACAAATCTGTCTAGGAAAGAAAATGCGAATAAAAGGATAAAGATAGATGGGAGAGATCAAGGCTGCGAACGCCATGCAGCTACCTCGATACTCCCAGATCCTGCTGCTCAGCTAACAAATCCTCACTCACCCTGCGGTGTACCTGGATCTGCACACAAGGTGCAGGGAGTATTGTGAGTACTTCCAACCCAGAAAGTAATAAACATAAATAAGGGTTGAGAGTAAGAAATCCTGGACAGGCACAAAGTAAGCTATAATTACAGCAGCTCAATCTAAATACTATCAACTCAATAAACTAATGAAAAACAATTATAGAATATCACAGCAGATAAATAAGTAAATGGCAATCAAGTATGCAATGCAACACATAAACTGGTACCTCCAGTACCCCGCTACGGCCGTGCAGCCCGCTCCATTTATTTAACGTCGACGGCGCTCACTGGGGGTGTACAGACTCCGGGAGGGGCCCCTTACGGCCCAAGCGCAATAATAAGCCATCTCGTGGCATCAAACAGGCCCTTGGCCTCATATCAATATCATTATCATACCACTGCGGCGTGCAGCCCGATCCAATAATCAGTCCAAAATCACATAAGCCTTTTGGCACAATAGTATAAAAATATTCAGCCCAAACTTTATTTAAAAATATTAATTTAGTTTCTGCTTTAAGAAAAATGGCTGAGTTTACAAAACAGTGTCAAACACCAGGACTGAGTTCAATATCTATAAATACGGTAAGAAACCAGTAAAATAATCCCTGAAGGATTCAAGTAGTTGGCACGAAGCCCAATTATGACAATTAATCCATTTTTATAAGGATATTACAAATCTACATCAAATAGGTATCAATTTTATTAAACGGGACGGACCAAGTCACAATCCCCGACGGTGCTCTACCCCACGCCCGTTATCCGGCGTGCAAGTCACCTCACATAGCACTACGTTGTGCAAATCGGGGTTTCGAACCCTCAACACAGCATTTACATTTATTACTAACCTCAAGCCGGCCAAAGTCCTAGCTTGCTATGCCCTTGCCTTTCGAATTCACCTCTTCGCGCGTCGAATCTGACCAAAGCCACAACGAATACGTCATAATATGCTAAGGGAATATAACCCAATCGAAAAGACTCGAAAAACATCGAAAATCACGAAGTTGGAAAATCCCGAGCCCCGGGCCCACTTCGCGAAAAATTATGAAATTTACATCACCGGACTCCTCGTCTCGCCACGAGGCTACCCATATCAAATTCATCAAAATCGGGGTCCATTTGACCCCTCAAATCCCAAATTTACACTTTCTTAGGCTTCAAGCCCTAACCTCCATTTTTAACCCTTAAATCCTTGGATTTTCAGTGTTTAATTCATGTTTTTACACCATAACAACATAATCCGAGTCTAAGAACTCTTACCTGACGAAATCCCACGAATTCTCTTCAAAATCGCCCAAAAATCCTCTTTGCCCGAAGTCCAAAATGTTTCTTCTCTTTTTCCAAAATCATGAACACTGTTCACTTTATTTCCAGGTCTATTTTCGCTTCTGCGGTCCCGCTACCGCTTATGCGGGACCGCTTCTGCGGCCATATGACCGCTTATGCGGTTTTCACTTAACTCCCCCAGGTGCCGCTTTTGCGACTAAAAGCCCGCTTATGCGGTTTCCCCTCAACCGCTTCTGCGATGGATTGTCCGCTTATGCGGACCCGCTTTTGCGGAAGGGCTTCCGTTCCTGTGGACATGCCAGGCCCCCTCGAGGACCGCAGATGCGGAAATACCAGAAGCCAGATACACCAGACCTGCAACAAACATCCAAATTCACCGTTTAACCACCCGATATCACCCCGAGGCTCCCGGGGCCCCAACCAAAAACATCAACACATCCTAAAACCTTATTCAAACTTGCTCCAATCCTCAAAACACGTCAAACAACACTAAAATCATTAATTTACATCGGATTCAAGCCTAAGTTTCTTAAAAACTTCCGCAATACGCATTCGATCAAAAACCCGACCAAACGACATCCGAATGACCTGAAAATTTGCAGACATATCCAAAATCACCCTACGGAGCTACTGCAACTCTCGGAATTCCATTCCGACCCTCGGATCAAAATCCTACCTATCAACCGGAATTTGCCAAAATTCAAACTTCGCCAATTCAAGCCTAATTCTACACTGGACCTCCAAATTCCATTCCGATCGCACTCCTAAGTCACAAATCATCCCCCGAAGCTACCCGAACCACCGGAACTCACATCCGAGCCCTCTAACTACATAGTCAACTTCCGGTTGACTTAAGGTTCCTTCTAAGAGGCTAAGTGCCATATTTCCAACTAAAACCAATCCAATTCTACCCGATCAACTCAAATACTGATATTGAAACATAGAACAACATAATATGGGGAAAACGGGGCGGTAACTCACGTTACGATGGGCCGGGTCGTCACATTTATTTAAAATCATTATTTTATTATTTTCACCAGTTTAGCGACCAACTTTGGTCGCTTTTCTTGACAGACCAACTTTGGTCGCTAAAGTTTGGTCGTTTTATGCAGAAATTCTAGTAGTGAACAACGCAGAACAGAATCGCTCACGTAGTGTCACAGTGATACGATTAAATATTTAAACTTTATTAAACATGTACTAAGTAACAAATTAATCAAGAAAAAATTGACAGCCAAAATCAATAAAGATACAAACAACATTTCAGTGCGGATGAAATGTCATGCTTACTTAAAACAAACGAAATTGACAGACACTGAATTAAATGTAAATTTCCAACATACATGTGCTTGGGTGTTCAATCTATACTATATTAAAAGTACGAAGGCCCTTAGCGAAATGTCGTTCGCCTTTTTTACCTTTTGAAAATAAACTTTATATTAGACAAAATCGTAATTTAGTTATTTTTTTCTAATATTTAGGACTTTGAAATCAGCTAAAATCTTAGTTATTAAATCTTTCCTTATATGATTTATGTTAAATTACTTGGTTCATTAGGACTTTGAAAATCAACTAAAAGTTTAACTATAAAATCTCTTTCCTTGTTAAAGTAAGTATAAATTTCGTAACATTTTTTGGTACCATGACGTGCAATTTATACCTTCTAACCTTTTTCCAGTTTGTTAGAATCATCCCTCTGTTTTCCTTCCTCTAGAAAACGAAATTCTTGACACTAAAAGAATTAAAACGATTTTCTGAACAAGAAAACTTCCTCTTTCGCCAGAAAGAGACTTTGCCTTATACATACATGCTGACAAATTAAAGACAACATGTGTGTTTCACTTGAGTTGTTATTCAAGTGATTAACTCATCTTGTCTTAAGCTGATTTTTTATTTATAAATTAGCAATTAACAAAGGTGTTTATATACAATGGTGTATGCATGATTTTTGGTAAGCAATGTTAACATTTGAAAAAAATGAATGATTCAATATATCATTAAAATAACAAGCGGTGTCATTAAAATAAAACGTTTGAAACTTATGGTTTTAAGCAAACAATAACAATTGTGTGGCTATAAACGCTTTTTACTAAAAAAAAATATAAGAATGTGTCAATCTTTTTGGAACGGACTAATAAGAAAACAGTGCCAATCTTTTTGAAACGGAGCGATCAATTAATTTTAAGGATCTAAATATTATAAAAAATAATAAAATTATGATTTTATTTAAAATACATTTATTTTTAAAGGATAAAAGGTCGATCGACATTTCGACTATTAGGGGTGTTCATGGTTCGGTTTGGATCGATTTTTCTCTAAAAAAAAAAAACCAAACCAAAGAGTCAATTTTTCAAATGTTAGAACCAAACCAAGCCAATTAAGTCGGTTTTTTCTCGATTCGGTTTATGTCGGTTTTTCGGTTTTTTCGGTTATTTATCGGTTTTTTCTTAAATATAAGACATACACTACCAAACACATATTCCGGAGACCACATTTTCAACGTAACACTATCAAATCAATTGCCCTTTGAGAAATCTATTATTTACCAAGATATATTGCTGATAGTTGGATCAAATAGTGATGAATAATTTAAGGACTCAATTAAAAATATATTATTTTTAACACGAAATGGATTCTTACACTTAACAAAAGAAAACTACCAATCAAACTAGAATGTAAAGGTAAAGAACTATACTAAAAGTGCAAACTATTAACATTTACCATTAAATTTTTGAAACTTTATATAAAAATATACATATATATAGATGTAATAATGAATTTGAAATAGCTACTCCTATAGTCGGTTTGGTTCGGTTTTTTTCTGATTAAAACCAAAACCAAACCAAATTTGATCGGTTTTTAAAATTCAAAACTAAAACCAAACCAAACCAAAAAGTATCGGTTTTTTTGGTCGGTTTGGTTTGGTTTTCGGTTTGGTTCGGTTTTTCGGGTTTTTATGAACACCCCTGTCGATTATGATGCTTCTTTGACAAATCTTTGAAGAACATGATAAAAACAATTGTGTTTTGTTTTCAGTATTAGGTCATAGAAATAACATTAATTTTTATAAGATATTCTTATATAAGTCATCATAAATCACAATAAACCATCTAAAAATTTATGTGGGATAAAAATTTAATTTATTGAGCTAGCTAAATAAAATAAGTATTTATCATTTTTCAAAAATTTATTTAATTTTTATTTTATAGTTTTATATAACTCAAACGTATTGTCTAATAACATTCACGTAATTTTTTAAATTATATACCCATTAATATAGGTACACGCGCAAAGCGCGTACCCTAAAACTAGTTGAATAAAATATCGATATGCTTTTGTCTTTGTCCTGTTCAATATTGACGGGACAGGCAAACCAAATTGACTGCCCAAAATTATGTTGGATGGATCCTTTCAGGATCATCGTTTAAATTTGGCGAAGCACTCCTGGCAATCACCAAATAATTATAATTCTAGATATTGAGAAAACAAACCGTTTTAATTGTTCAACTTTCATATTTAGATGCAACACTTTAATATTCAAATGTATATTGGAATCCCGATATCTTAATCTTGATAAAAACAAATGAGCCCTTTAGAGACTATAACAACTAAAAAAGATCTTGGGAGGGAATAGCAGTATTGTACATGAAATTAGAGGAGGATTTAATCTAGCTTCATAATAGAACTTAGGCCACCATCGACAGCCAAATTATGAGCACTAACGTAAGCCGACTCATCCGACGCCAAGAAAAGTGCTGCTTCTGCAATATGCTTTGTGCTCAATGTAATACCTTTCAAGTTAGCATTTCCAGATATTGAAGCTTCAATAGGGGCGGCATCTCCGCCGAACGTTTTGCATACCATTGGCGTCGCGATGCCATAAGGCGATACACAATTCACCCTAATTCCGTATTGTCCCAGCTCACGTGCCGCCGCTTTTACCACGCCTAGGATGGCGTGCTTCGACGCCACGTAGGCTAACGGAGCTGCACCCGCTAAAATAGCCTCTACGCTTGCCGTACATATGATGGAGCCTTGAATTTTTTTAGTTACCATGACTCTAGCTGCATGCTTGACGGCTAATGCCGATCCTCGTGCGTTAATAGTCATCGTCTGGTCAAAAAGCGTCATATCCATGTCGAGAACGGAACTGAGGCTGCCGAGGGTGCCGGCATTGCTGAACATGATATCGAGGGTACCGTATTTTTCGACGGCGTAGGCGACAGCTTCCTCGACTTGTTTCTCGTCGGTGACGTCGCACTGGCGGTAGCTGGCCTTGTCGGTTCCGATTGACGCCACTACTTGATGACCAAGTTCATCTTGAATGTCAGCAATGACTACACTAGCCCCATGTTCCACGAACAATCTAGCAGTTGCTTCACCAATGCCACTTGCAGCACCAGTTATTACAGCTACTTTACCCTCCAACCTGGTACCACAAAAAGAACAAACAAAAGATTATACTAGTATTGTTTGTTAGAAGAATTTTTACTTAGTTTAGATAGAGCTAGCCTAACTATGTAACTATAGTTTGCCTAATTATTAGGTAGCAACTGTTCAATTTATTATTAGCTTATATTATTTGTATTTAGATGCGCAACAAATACAACATGTGTCAACTGTATTCGTTCACACAGCGGATACAACTTATATCAACTAATTCGTTCGTGCAACTGTATTTATTGCTCTCTTGTTTTAGTTCAAAACAATTTATCTCTTGTTTCAGTACTTTCATTTCACATAAATTTGATATAAATTCAAATATAGCTACCAATTAAAATTTTCTGAAAGTATAGCTATGAATAGTAATACTGGGTATATGTTTGCTGTATCGCGTAATTTTTCCTTGTTTTTATGGATTCGAATTTCACAGTTCAAATTTGTTTTAGCTGATGCAGCCTACTAAATTTTTAGTCACAGATTATTCTTTTCTGTATCATTTGGATCTAATGTTCTAAAAGACTCACCCAATCTTCAATCTTAAAATAAACATGTCCTATCACTAATTAAAATAGTATGAATCAAATTTTCGACGGCGTATTGACGGAAACATTTCACTCCATTGGAGTTTCTTGCACCACCTTTTTAAATTTAACTTGCAGCCTATTCCAAATTTATGTCTTTATGTAAGTGCATAAAAATGGAGTGCAATATTTGATAGTGAAACGAAATTGAAACTGATGATTTTTTACCTGAGCTTATTTGCCATCTGAAAACAAGAGGAACCTCCTTGTCTCAGCAATGGTTAAAGTTTTTGCAGAGGTCTCTGCCGGCGTAGGCTCCGATCCGTTCCAGCTCACTGAACAGAAATTTCTCTATGGATCTACAATATTATAAAAGAGTGTGTCTTGGTAAACTCTCCATTTTGTTGACTGGCCTTGAGCTACGCAAAGAATATCGGGGGAAACTGCTGGCTACCGGCAACAATATAGGGATCCACGTTTATTGTTGGCAAATCTTCGACCCCTCAAAACTTATAAGGCATGAATCTATGATTTTTTAATTACCACTTGCTGGGCACTATTAATTATTTTTTAAAAGAATAGGATTAATTGTTTTCTTAATCGACCCAGAATTTCAAATACACTCACATGCAGTGGCTTTCTTTAATGTATTTTACTGAATGAATGTTCCTTGAAACTTACGGGGTGTACATTTAATAGGCATGATAGCATGCACGTATTACTACAGTTGGCACGCAATTCTAATTGATTGAGTACCAAATTAAGGAAGAAAATTCAATACACATGCCAAACAAACAAATATCATCACAGCATGATTCTAAAACTAAAACTATAACTGCATGCTTTTCTAAAAGAAATTGCTTTCGAAAATTTTATGACGGTAAAACTAGGGGAAAACTGAAAAGAAACAAAAACCGAAGGGGATATAAAGCTTGCCAAACATTAAAATTGTCAAGACCCAAACTACCACGTGGTGATGACGTCTATCGTGGTACTAGGCAAGCCGATTCTTTACCAAAACAACACGATTTTTTATTTTTAAAAGATAGATTCAAGCTATTTAATAATTTAACTTCATAAAGAAATTCTAAATAACGAGAATGCAAAGAGAAAAGCCCGACATCGGGGTGTCAATAGTCATGAGCATCTACTACAGTTTATCCAAAAATACTAAGACTAACACAGTCTGGAAAGTAACTACGAACATCTATAGGAAGATAGGAGGGAGAAGAGCAGGGCTGCGATCGCCAGCAGCTACCATGCTAACTCCAAGAAGATCTACAACTGGAATAGTTAACAGCCGCTACCGGGTCCTGATACACCTGGATCTGCAACTCAGTAAATAACCAAAGTAAATAAAGGCTGAGAAGCAGTGACGAGCAATAAAACATTTAAAGTCCACATCATGAAATCTCAGTAAAATACAATAGGCTTTTAAAATCAGAGTTTGAATCAAATCATCTCGTTTAAACCCAGCTCTAGTAAAAATCATTTAAAGATATTTTTCAACAGTTTTCAACAAGGCTCAATGCAAAGGTGAGCAATTTGATGAAATCATAAGCTGCCCCTCGGGATAAACATCACTCGTATACAGCCACACGGGCAAACCTTACAATCACTCGTATATAGCCCCTGGGGCATACCTCACAATAAATCATAAACAGCCCCTCGGGCACACCTCACCATCACTCATGCCTCACAGTCACTCAGCACTCGGCACTCGCACTGAGTAGGTACCTGCGCTCACTGGGGGTGTGTAGACTCCGGAGGGGATCCTTTAGCCAAGCGCTATAAAAAACCAACTCGTGGCGTAAATCAATCAGGCCCTCAGCCTATATCAAAACATGTTGCGGCGTGCAGCTCGATCCCATAAATATCCTCACAAATCAGGCCCTCGGCCTCACTCAATTATAAACCTCTCAAGCCACTCGGGCTCTCAGTAAATACAGGGAACTCAGCCCAAAATAACATTTATATGCATCAAAACAGAGTAATAAAGACTGAGTTATGAAATCAATAAGTATAACATGACTGAGTATAGATATTCAATCAAAAATAGAGAGAGGATAGTAAGAAAAAGGCCCCTAAGGGTCTAACCAGCTCTGACACAAGGCCTAAACATGGCATTCAGCCCAATTTACAGAAACTCTTTCTAAACCACATAAGTATCATATAGTTTCAACCAAATAGGCAAGTTTACAGTTGCTACGGGGCGGACCAAGTCACACTCCCCAACGATGCACGCCCACACGCCCGTCACCTAGTATGTGCGTCACCCAACATGTGCATCACCTCAAAATAGTAAAACACAATTCGAAATCCGGGGTTTCATACCCTCAGGACTAGATTTACAATCGTTACTTACCTCAACTGACCAGAATCCTACTCCGCGATGTCCTTGCCTCTCGAATCGGCCTCCAAATGCCTCGAATCTAGCCATAAACAATTCGATACAATCAACACGAGCTAAATGAATCAATCCCATAAGAAAATGCTAAGCTTTAGGTCAAAAGTCAAAAAGTCAACTCAAAAGCCGGGCCCCGGGCCCAGGTCTAGAAATCCGACAACCCATTCGATTATGAGACTAACCATACTAGTTTCACTCAAATCCGACTTCGAATAGGCTTTCAAATCCCAAAAAATTATTCTATGGAACTCCACCAATTTTCCCCAAATTCCATCCCAAATCAGGAATAGAATGATGAATTCAATGATATATTCATGAATATTAGCCAAAACCGAGTTAGAATCACTTACCATGATGAATTTTTTGAAAAACTCTCAAAAATTGCCTTAAGCCGAGCTCCCAAAGTCCAAGATGTGAAATAAAACCCTAAGCCTCGCTTATATAGTGCTCTCTGAACCTTCACCGTGCGGTCCGCACAATCATGCCGCGGTCGCGGGTCCTGAGCCATTTTCCTTCCGCGGTACGCATAAAACTCAATGCGGCCGCACACCCCTCATCGTGGTCCGCACAATTTTGTCGCGGTCGCATAACACCTCCGCGGCCCGCACCAATTTTGTGCGGTCCGCACTTCCAAGACCAGAGACCAAATACAGCTGACACCAGAAATCTGCCAACTCCCAAAGCCAAATAATGATCCGCTAACCACCCGAAACTCACCCGAGGCCCTCGGGACCTCAACCAAGCATACCAACATATCCCATAACATCATTCAAACTTAGTCGAACCTTCGAGTCTCCCAAAATAATATCAAAATACCAAATTACCCTCGGATTCAAGCCTAAGAACTTCTAAACTTCCAAATACCGCAAACGACACCGAAACCTACCAAGCCTCGTCTGAATGACCTCAAATTTTGCACACACGTCACAAATGACACTACAAACTTACTCCAACTTCCGGAATTCCATTCCGAACCCGATATCAAATTTTCCACTGTCGACTAAAAATTGCCAAATTTCCAATTTCGCCAATTCAAGCCTAATTCTACCGCGGACCTTCAAATTACATTTCGGACGCACTCCCAAGTCCAAAATCACCTAATGGAGCTAAAGGAACCATAAAAATTCACATCCGAGATCGTTTACACGTAAGTCAACATCCGATTGACTTTTCCAACTTAAACTTCTAAATAGGAGACTAAGTGTCTCATTCCACTCCAAGACCACTCTGGACCCGAACCAACCAACACGATACGATAAAACACGGCTAAAGAACACAAAAGGAATCAGAAATGGGGGAAACAGGGCTATAACCGGCTGGGTCGTTATATCCTCCCATCTTAAACAAACGTTCGTCCTCGAACGAGTCTAGAAACATAACTGAAGTCTCAAATAGGTGTGGATATCTGCTTCGCATCTCCCGCTCGGTCTCCCAAGTAGCCTCCTCCACGGGCCGACCTCTCCACTGCACTTTCACTAAAGCTATATCCTTCAACCTCAACTTTCGGATGTGCCGCTCCAAAATAGCCACTGGCTCCACATCATAAGTCAAATCACCATCTAACTGAACCGTGCTGAAATCCAAGACATGAGACGGATTGCTGATATACTTCAGGAGCATAGAAACATGAAATACTGGATGCACACCCGACAAGCTAGGTGGCAAAGCAAGCTCATAAGCCACCTCCCCAATCCTTCGAAGCACCTCAAAAGGCCCAATGAACCGAGGGCTCAGTTTGACCTTCTTCCCGAATCTCATAACACCTTTCATGGGTGAAACCTTCAGTAGAACATTCTCCCAACCATATAAGAGACATCAGGAACCTTTCTGTCAGCATAACTCTTTTGTCTTGATTGCGCTGTACGAAGCCGCTCCTAAATCACTTGCACATTGTCCAAAGCATCCTGTACTAAGTCTGTATCCAAAAGCCTAGCCTCGCCCGGCTCGAACCATCCCACCGGAGATCTACACCGCCTCCCATACAAAGCCTCATATGGAGCCATCTGAATACTCGACGGATAACTGTTGTTGTAAGCAAACTCGGCGAGTGGCAGAAACTGGTCCCATGAACCCCCAAAATCAATGACACAAGCGCGCAACATGTCCCCCAATATCTGAATAGTGCGCTCGCACAGCCCGTCCGTTTGAGGATGAAAAGCTGTGCTCAACTCAACTTGGGTACCCACTCTCGTTGCACGACCCTCTAAAACTGTGATTTAAACTGTGTGCCTCTATCCGAAATGATGGAAACCGGCACTCCACGAAGGCGAACAATCTCTCTGATGTAAATCTCAGCTAACCACTCTGAAGAATAGGTAGTACACACAGGAATGAAGTGCACGGACTTGGTCAGCCGATCCACAATCACCTAAATAGCATCGAACTTTCTCAAAGTCCGTGGGAGTCCAACTACGGAATCCATGGTGATCCGCTCCCACTTCCACTCTGGAATCTCTATCTGCTAAAGCAAGCCACCCGGTCTCTGATGCTCATATTTCACCTGCTAACAATTGAGACACCAAGCTACAAACCCCACTATATCTTTCTTCATTCTCCTCCACCAATAGTGCTATCTTAAATCATGGTACATGTTCGCGGAACCCGGATGGATGGAATACCACGAACTATGTGCCTCCTCTAGAATCAACTCCCGAAGACCATCTATATTGGGCACACATATCCGGCCCTACATCCTCAATACCCCATCATCACCAATAGTCACAGCTCTGGCATCATCATGCAGAACCTTGTCCTTGAGGACAAGCAAATGAGGATCATAATATTGGCGCTCTCTGATACAATCAAGCAAGGAAGACCGAGAAACCACACAAGCTAGGACCCGACTAGGCTCCGAAATATCCAATCTCACGAACTGATTGGCCCAGGCCTGAATATCAACTGCCAGAGGTCTCTCCCCAACAGGAATGAATGCAAGGCTGCCCATACTCACCGCCTTCTTACTCAAGGCATCGACCACTACATTGGCCTTCCTTGGATGGTACAAAATAGTAATATCGTAGACTTTTAGAAGCTCCAACCATCTTCGCTGCCTCAAATTGAGATCCTTTTGCTTGAACAAGTGC